TGTCCTTGTAAGTGTAATTTCAGTCAAACCTTGAGAAATAAATTGGCCCTTTTGTTGTCTGGACTCAATCTAAGCACATCTAAGAACAAACTCATTAGAGCCCTGTTCCTATCACCTGTAAAAATACCTTCTATTCACAGTTCCTACTCTCCTGCTGAACACAGACCAGGGCTGACAGTTTTACGTGAACTACGCAGTGCTTAGGGTCAGTAAAGGCTACTTTCATCTGGTTAGGGTCAGTTTGCCACAGCCTAACCACTTACTACAACTCTTTCCATTTCAGTCACCATTTCTGGAGGTTTATATGGAACAGACACCCCTGCAACTTCGGAAAGCTACCTTTAATATGCACTACATATATAGAGTAGTGAAGTACATATGCAGACAGGTCCTGGGCTTATGACGGTTAGACCTACGATTGTTCAACTTCATGCTAATGTGAAAGCCATATATATTCACTGGAAACCGTATTTTGAGTCCTCATACACACTGGTTTTCACTTTGAGTACAGTATTCAATAAATTACATGAGATCTTCAACACTTTATTATAAAATAGGCTCTGTGTTAGGGGTACAGGTGGGCATGAAAACATGGATTTCACAGACCACATCGCCAGGGTGGGCAATGAACACATGGAATTCCACAGACACGCACGGTGGGCCACGAAAACAACGGAAATTCACAGACACACGGGCCAGGCGTGGGTGGTGAGAAAACACTCGCAGACACTGTCACGAACTAACAAAGGTTTTTGTATTCTTCCGCTAGAACGGGGTTTCACCGTTCAGCCAGGATGGTCCTCCATCTCCTGAGCGTCCTCCGTGATCCGCCCGTCTCGCTCCAAAGTGCTGGCTTACATGGTGCTTGGACGCCACCGGCCCGCCTTGTTTTGTTTTTGAGCACCAGGGTCTCACTCTCATTCAGGCTGAGTGCACGTGGCATGATCATGCTCACTGTTAGCCCTCCATGCTCCCAGGTGGCAAGCAATCCTCCCCACCTCAGCCTGCCTGAAATACCGGTGATTAACAGTGGTGTAACACCACCTACCACCCAGTCTAATTTTTTATTTTTTTGTAGACACGGAGTTTCAGCTATTTCCCTATGCTAGCTCTTGAACTACCTGGCCTCAAGTGACCCTCCCACACTCGGCGCTCCAAAGCGTTGGATTAACAGGCCCATGAGCCCAGCGTCCCCGCCTGACGT